GTTGCACCTGTTTTAAACAAATACCTCTGCATCTCTCACCCCAACTCACAATTTCTCCTTCAACCCAATCTAAACGTGGATTGTGTTTCTGGAGCCAAGGGAAACCCAGTATTATCAGATATGTAGGTGAAGATATAATTTGGAACACCATTTCTTCAGAATGTAAGATACCCACTGAGACAGTGATTGGCAGGGTTTTGTGCGTGATGAGAGGTTGGGTAAGAGGTCTCCCATCAAAAGCCTCTACTGCTATGGGTCCATCTTTCTGCCTTAATGGCAGGAGATGTTTGGCAGAGAATTCCTTGTCTAGAAAATTCTCCGCTGCCCCAGAGTCAATCATAGCCTCACACTGTACAGTGGTTTTCTTAAAAGACAAAGTAATTTTTATAAGGAAATATACATCACACCTAAGGTCGGTCCCCGAACGTGCCTTAAGTGTGCAAGTTTTCCGGCTGAACCGGACATGAAAACCTTTGATGTCCCCTTTTGCCACAATACAAACACAGCCCCTCATTGCGTCTGTGTTGTCTCTCTGCCTCAGTGAGTTTAGCAATGTTCAGTTGCATGGGTTCAGGTTCTGGAGGTGGAGCATGGCTAATTACCACTGGGTGAGAGAAACGAGAGGCTATGAATAAGTTAGAACGTCTAGTACGCTTTTTTTTTTTCTCTCTCTCTCTCTCTCTCTGAGCATGTTATCAATGTCTATCATGTATGCAATAAAGTCACTAAGGTTAACTGGAAGATCTCTGGCTGCGGTCTCGTCTTGTATATTTTCCGTTAAACCTTTGGAAAAAGCAGCCACCAAACCGCTATTGGTCCAGTTAACCTTAGACGCAATGTCCTGAACTCTATGGCGTAATCAGCTACAGAGCGGTTGCCTTGTTTTATTCTCATTAGGGCTCTGGCAGCATTCTTTTCTCTCCCTTTTGGCTCAAAAGTAGTTTTGAAAGCTGTTAGGAATACATTGTAATCACGGGCAACTGGATTTCCACTCTCCCATAAGGGATTAGCCCAGGTGAAAGCCTTACCCATTAATTGGTTCATTAGATAGCCAATTTTCGATCTATCTGTTGGGAATGAACCAGGGGAAGCCTCGAAGTGATATTCAATTTGGTTTAGAAAACCTCTAAATTCCTTAGAATCACCTCCAAAATGAGGGGGAGGTGAAAGGGTTATGGACGGTGGTTTGTGAGCCACAGGTGCTATTACAGGTGGCGGAGCCACAGGCGGCTGCTTGTGTGGTCCAACACGCAGAAACTATGTAAACATATACATAAAAAAGAAAAGGAAATAAAAGGACAGAGCGTGAACCGGACCTTAGAATGGCCGGACTAATACGCTAGAGATAGAGAATGGTCAAAGGGAAAGCCGAGGTCAAGGAAGCCAGAAATACTCAGATACCGTTGAAACAAGCCAAGTCCTTCTCTGGGCTCTGATTTGTCAGAGGGTGACGTCACGCGCACGTCCGTATAAATTTGAGGGGTGGAGCTTGTGGTGTGCGCGACCACGTGGTCAGCGCCATCTTTGATTTGGGCGCAACTCCCAGAAGACACGGAGGTAAGCTCGCAATATTGGCGAGGTCGTGCCGGTCTGGCACGGCTGCGCCATGCGGCGAGCCGGGAGCCGCAACAGTTATTTAGAGCTTACTCACTCTGTATTTTTACCTTTGTTTTAATTTCCCTCTCACGTCATCTGCTTTTTAACCCCCTTTTATCATGTCTATCTTTGAATTCAGAAATAATTATATTATAGATGTTGAAAATTTATTTGACACAGAAGTAATTAGTCCAATCCCATTAAGACACCACAATCTGAGCCAACAAGACTTGTTTACAAAATTAGAAAAGGCCCTAACCACAGAAATGAAACTTAAATGGGAAATAGCCACTTTTAAAAAATACATTGATAAACAGATTACCCCCACCGTGGCCTAAGACTTTTAAAACTACCCACCTGTGACCAAGACAATATAGAATTTATGAAAGAATGGAATAGTAAACTCGAGCTATGAACCCTTGGTCTAATGGAATCTCTTATATTAAAAAAAAGTAAAAAACTATCTCTACTAGATACAGAGATCAATGATCTTAGAGATAAACTCCTACCTTTCACAGAAACCAAAGCGTATAAACAAAACTCTATAATAATCCAGAGCAAAATTGAGAAAATTGAAGTAGACACAAAACACTTAAAAATTCAAAAATATATGCGAGACAAAAATGATTATGCAAACAAACAAGTTAGAACTTACCGCCTAAACAGAAGATACACCTCAGATACCCACCCCCCTAGAGACAACTCCTGTCAACATAGGAACTACAATAGGAATAACACTCGCTCCCACCCACCTCACGAATATCATAATCACATAACACACCACTTTTCACCACCCAATGCACAACCCCTGAAAACCTCCACCTATTCTCGTCACGCCCCTTCTCACCCAGCCCATCACTCCAACACCCACTAATACCATCCTATCCCTAACAGATACCGTAATAACTCATACCGGAAACACAACCCCACTCCCCTGTCACCCAAGTATCAAAAACCATCTGGTTTCAAACACTTCTCACCCATCAACAAAGATCTAGATACAACAATGACCACAGTGAATATTCCAACTATTCAAAATCACCCACTATTCCAAAACACCCAAACAGATACCAGCTCATATCTATAGACTCTGAATTTGAAAATGAGGACCATTTTTTTTAGAAATTTGCACTCACCCACACCCACTAGCTCCAACACCACACCCGTCATGGTCACAAAAAATAATTTTAAGTCTAGAGGAAGACGAAGTGGGAGACGCGAACAAAAGAGACAGACTAGAAAGGCAATAAGCACCTGTAATGACCCATGCTAAGGCATTTTTAACCTCTCCCAGAAAGTTTTAACCACTGCACAAATTTCTGTGCTAAGTAAAGGGTTAAAATTTGCACCTACTAATTATTTTAAATCTTTTGATGCCTTCCATGATATTAACAAATTTGTTCGTAAAGCTACATTAAAAAGATACTTTATTGGGAGGAATGAGGGAACCCAAAACCCAGCTCCCACGTCCCCCCAAAATGAACCCTGTATTACCAACACCTCAGAGAGAAATCAACATTTTATCATCCCCATTTTAAATCAGCACCCCTAGTTTTATTTGAAAAACTAGTCAATAAAGACCTCGAGCAAATCAAAACTACCAAATACGACCCCCATAATCTAACATTTGCAGAGAGAAGGGCCATCAAAGAACTACAAGAAGACAGGGATATTGTGATCAAACCAGCAGATAAAGGAGGAGGGTTAGTCATTCAATCTAGCTCAATGTATATAGAAGAGGCCCATAGACAACTTAATGACACTAACGTATAGAATAAACTGCCATCAGATCCAACCAGGGACATACAAATGGTCTTATCTAAATTTTTAGAAAAAGGTTTTAACTCGAGTATTTTAAACAAACACAAATTTAATTTTTTAAACAAAAAAATTCCAATAATACCCGTAATTTATTTCCTCCCAAAAATACACAAAGATGAAAGTAAACCCCCAGGAAGACCTATTGTCTCAGGACAATGTTCTCTCCTATGTAATTTATCTATATATATATATATAGATACCCTCTTCCAACCTTCAGTTAAACTAATGAGGTCCTATTTAAAAGATTCTATGTCCCTGTTAAGATTTTTACACACTTTTAGTTGGAAACCAAACTTTATTTTAGTCACTTGTTGTAGCGGAGAGGTAGTATAATCCACAGTATCTCCGCTGGGTAACAGGAACAGCATAAAATAATCCAAGGAAATAAATACAGCATACAATAATCCCGGTAGCGTTATAAGAATCCTTCCTTCCCAAGAACTAGACGACACATGGCTGGGAGTCAACTGAGGTTTTATTCACAGGGCACTGTATTTATGGGATTCCCCATGCAAGGGGTTTCCCTTCTGACATTCCAGGGGTGGTACAGTAGGGGACTAAATGGGGAACTGACCAACACATACATCTCTCCCACCATGCACTGCTGCACGAGAGGGATACTCCCCCTAGAATATACCGTTAAGTGGATAGCAAACTATCAATCAATTTTTTAGATCTTACCATTTTTTTTTTAATTCTTTATTTTTGTAGTGCATAGATAAGTAACAGTCGCTTGTGAGGTACCCCAAAGGCAATCCTCCAGCGTTTCACATTTATAGGTTACATTGGGGTTTAAGAGAAACATGCACAATTTTTTGTGTTATTAAGTAACTATTAATACAATTTGTTGCGTATAAGTTTGATTACTCATATCTTGTCGTTTAGGTCAGTAAAAATTTTCAACAACAACAGTGAGACTGCAATGCTATCTTGCTGAATTTGTAATGTGTTAGGTCATGTCCAACATGTCCTGTCGATTAGGTTGGCAACTGTGAGGCTGCAGTGTAATTATGCTAGTCTGAGTGATGCGACATGCTTAACTAGTATATATGAGGTCATGCTTAAACATATTATGGCATGCTTGAATATTGTATTAACATGTACATTGGACAACAACAATGAGACTGCAATGCTACCTTGCTTAATTAGTAATGCGTTAGACCATGTCTAACATGTCCCGTCGATTAGGTCGGTAACTGTGGAGCTGCAGTGTAACTATGCTAGTCTGAGTAATGTATCATGCTTAACTAGCATATATGAGGTCATGCTTAAACATTATATTATGTCATGCTTAAATATTGTATTCACTATGAAACACACATTTAGGTACAAGATGGGGCCTGAAGCAACACGGCTAAGACATAAATTTTAAAAACAGACAGGATGTGTTACTGCATCTCCATCTATGTGGAACTATGTTCCACTGGGTGATCAGGCAGATATCTAAATATCGCCAGAGTGGGTGAAATAAAGGTACAGAGTGCCTATGTAATATATTTAGCCTGTGGTCGCAGGGAGGGAGGGCATGTGAACCACAGCATTGGGCCCAGGTTGGGGGCTGTGTATTGCCAGTAAGGAGGCCCTCAGCCTATGTCTGTTTCGGGTATCAGTAGTATGTACTTGCTGTGTCCATGCAGAGCGCTTTGCTCAGTGGAACCACTGGGTTTAAGTCCCTCTTTGGTGTTTCTGTGGGAAGCGTCCTTTTGTACTGCTATGCAGTGTTCGGCCATATTCTCTGGGTGTAGAGACGTGCTTCTTTGGTCCGAGGTTCTTTGTTTAGGTAGGTAGTGTGGCTGCAGAGGTTGCTCTTTGGTCCAGCTGCTGTGTGTATGGGAACGCGTGGGTGAGCCCCGGTAGCTTGGCACGTTATTCTGCCGGAATGATTTTTGGCGCCTTTGTGGCCGCATGGCCATCCTGAACGCTTGTAGTGGGTATCTGTAATGGCGTCTGCGAGTCACTGGGCGGATCCATAAGGCGATCACTCTGGCTGCTCGGTTGCAGGACACTCCACGATGACAAAGTATTGTCCATAGGTTCGTGCATAGCCGAAGCCTTCCATGCAGTGAGTGGGTGATGTGTTGTTTGTGCCCGCCGTTTTTGGCCCTTGCTGAGTGGCCATCTTGTGTAAGCCAAAAGGCAGGTCAGCTTGTCTGGTCCGCCTGTCCGATGGGGACCAGGATATCCCCCACCGGTCCAAAGGTGGGGGGTTGGAGACCTGTTAAGTCGCTTAGGGGGTCCGGTGTCAGAGAGAGCGGCCGTCTCTCCTCGGCTCCGGTTTCTGTAGGCCGCGCTTGGTGTCCCGCTTTCCGAGCTCCGATGGGCTCCAAAAAGGTCTTGTTTTCTTCGGGGGTGCACCCCCGACGTGGGTGATGCACCCTGGTGGGTCTTTGGGCTAATTAGCCCCCGAATAGGCCCTTTTTCCTGCCCGTTGTACAGGAGCTCGTGTCCCCTGCTTCTGCTCTGTTAGGCAGTCAGGCTCAGCCCCAGATCTTACCATTTTTATCAACAATGGGCAACTACAAACCAAAATTCTTTTCAAAAAAGTGTGTGTAAACACAGCAATTGAGAAATCAAGTTGCCATCACACACCTTGGCTTGAAAGCGCCCCTAAGAGTCAATTTCTTACGCCTCCATAGGAATTGCTCAGAACTAAATGATTTTATAGAACAAGCCGATTTTTTAAAACACAAATTCATTGAGAAAAATTATTCTGAAAGCGACCTCAACCACACTGTTGACATAATAAAACAAAAAGAACGAGGTGACCTTCTAATATACAAAGACAAAAATACCAATGAACTCATGCCTCTTCCTGTTATTTTTAATTATAGCAATAAAAGTGATAACATAAAAAAGATAATAAAAAAACATTGGCATATACTCAAACACGACGAAATACTCCAACAAATTTTACCAGAACACCCCAATATAATTTTTAGAGGAGCACCAAATTTTAAATCAATCTTAACAAAAAATTTCACTAAGGAACCCTCTAAAAAATCACCCCTTCCTTCTTTCCCCAGACCAAGGGATTTTATAAATGTAAACACTGTGTAGTATGTAGGAACAATGATCCCTCCGTACCATCCAAAGTCACTCAATTTATGTCTAATAGGACAAAAAAATGTATATACGATAAAAGATTGTAGATGCTTAACAGTGTTTTTTTACATTTATTCATCATAGTTTATAATTTTTTTATATTAAATTATATGATATGATGAAAATAATGGTATCTTTAGAAAGACCATTTAATTGTGAGAAAAACAGTATATAATATGGGTATGTAATGTGGGTACAGTAAATGAGTAAAAGGAAAATGACAGCTAAACACAAACACTGCAGAAATGTAAAAAGAGCGCTGGTCCTCAACAGTAAGAAAATTGAAAAACGATCTGGTCACTAAGGGGTTAAAGGCATATACACCTAATTTTTATTTCACAGTTTTTTTATAGTTTTATATATGTATGTGTGTTTTATCCACTTATTATTTTTGGTTGTTATTCAATAATACATTTAGATTCAGAGCCACCCTTTGTTTAAACATTTATAATAAAAACTAAACGTATCTGTAATCCAGTGTCAGGACAGTCTTCTCTCTTCAGGCCAGTCCACCCACAGTGAGATTATCAAGTAAGATGATTTCTAGAGAACCATTGTGGATCAACAATGCATACATGGCAATCACTGATCTTCTCCAATCAGTGCTTCTCTGTGAAAAGAAATAGCTGTATTTGGCATTATTATGCTGTGTGTGGCGATGCAGAACCTGAAAACCGTTGAAAATCAAAGGTCTTAGAGAGACATGCATTACATGATAATGTTTTTTTTTTTTTCAATCAAAATATAATTGGTTTTCAAATTGATGGGGTACAGAAAAAAAGAAGGGGGGGGGGGGGTACATTGCCAATGTGACATTTTCACTGTTTATTATATGCATAGGTAAAGTACAGGAGAACAGAAAGAAGAAGGGTAGGGAAAACATCAGTATTTGTACAATAACATTAAGCATAACTGTGTGACAATGCAGTGCCTTAGTGTATATATCATATAAAAAAAACCTCGTCTGCGAGACTGGTGCCTGTTTTTAGTAAGATTCAGCACTATGACTAAACATCAATCTCATTGCAAGGCTGAGACCAGACGACGACTTGTATTCAACAACATCTTGAAAACACAAAAACTCAGAGGTTTAACAAGGGTTCTCGGAGTGAGGTAAGAGAGCCTAGTGCTTGTTAGGATTGTCTGGCCTATCAGGTGGGTGAACGCCTGGCTAGGTGCAGTGTTTTTCATGTAATTCCACCCATGGTTTCCAGGTGGTCTGGAATGCCTGTGTTTCTACACTATTGTACAATGCCATGTTTTCATATACATGGTATTGTTGTATTTTATCCCATAGTTGGGTTCTTGTTGGGCATATCATAGATTTCCAATGTAGGGCTAGTAGGTTTCTAGCTGCTAGAAGGGTGATGACACACAGTTGTTTGTGTGCCTTGTCTAGATCGGGTGGGAGTAGCAATAGTAGATATGGCTGAGGGTTTTTGGCAGGGTTGGGAACTGTAGCACTGTCAGGGTCTTTTGAACCTCTGTCCAGAAGTTATGAATAGCTGGACACGTCCACCCAGGGCCGGACTGGCCCACCGGGATACCGGGAAATTTCCCGGTGGGCCGTGGCACCTGATCATTGGGCTGACAGCTCCTGTGCAGCCCTGTAATCCTGGCTGGCCATGTGTGAGCTGTGCAGCCGCACAGAGCCCCTTGGGAGCAGGGGGAGCCAGGCAGCCGGCACAGCTCACACATGGCCGGCCGGGATGAGAAAAATAAAAATAAATTTGCGGCGGGGGCGGAGCTAATGTGTGGCGGGGGTGGGGCTAGCAGGCAGCAGGGGCAGGGCTTAGTGTGTGGCGGAGGCGGGGCTTACTGTGCGGCGGCGGCCTGGCTGACTGCAGCATGGGAAGCAGGAAGGAGTTCCTGCTTCCCCAACAACCAGCCTGCAGGAGCTCCAAGCAGGAGGGAAGAAGCAGGTCAGTGTATGAGTGTGTGACTGTCTGTGTGTGTCAGTGAGCTTGTCTGTAGTGAGCATGTGTGTGTCAGTGAGCTTGTCTGTAGTGAATCTGTGTGTTAGTGAGCTCTTCTGTAGGGAGCGTGTGTGTCAATGGGCTTGTCTGTAGGGAGAGTGTGTGCGCATCAGTGAGCTTGTCTGTAGTGAGCGTGTGTGTGTGACAGTGAGCTTGTCTATAGTAAGCTTGTGTGTGTGTATTAGAGTTTGTCTGTACGCAAGTTGTGTGTGTGCCAGTAACCTTGTCTGTGTGTGTCATTGTCTGTCAATGAGCCTATTTGTGTGCATCAGTAAGATTGTCTGTCTGTGTGTGAGTATGCTTTACTGTATAATTTAATTACCCTAAAATAACTAATATTTTGAATTAGAAGAAGAAATGTATCAATAAAAAAAATATATAATATATATATATATATATATATATATATACATATATATATATATATATATATATATATATACTGTTGCATCACCAGGGCTCCAGTATCCAGTTTATATATAGGCAATTGAAATAGTTGGCTGCACTCAACGTTTCAGTCCCTCTTGTGGACTTGCATCAGGATCATGATGAAAGTCCACAAGAGGGACTGAAACATTGATCTTCTCTTAAATATTTCAATAAAAGTTACATTTTCACGAAATCCAAGAGTGCAGCCAACTATTTCAATTGCCTAATATATATATATATATATATATATATATATATATATATAAACACCCTACATAGCACAATGACTTATAGGGCTGGCATAGATTTTTTTCCAGGGCTGCTTCGTATCCCCAGTCCGGCCCTGCGTCCACCATATATCGAGTAATGTGCCTTCCTCCGCTGAACACCTCCAACAGAGTGGTGATACCGCTGGGTATATTTTGTGAAGTTTTTGTGGCGTCATGTACCACCTGTACAGTAGTTTTTTGTGGGCTTCTATATGCGTGTGTTTGGACAGGTCATTAAGGGCTCAAATCCAGTCTGCGTCGGAGAGCTGGAGTGAGCAGTCAGTTTCCCATCTTATTTTACAATGTGGGGGTTTATAGGGCAAGGTGTGATCCCATACCTTGTAGCAAAGGGATTTGGCCTTTTGTTTTGTTGTAGATCCCCAGCAGTGCTCTACAATAGCCGCGACTGGGAGAGAGCTGGCAGTAGGGGTAAGTTGGCGGAGTTGCACTTGTGTGGTTACAATTCCCTTAATTCTCAGGTAAGTGAATAGAGCATTGGATGGTAGTTTCTACTTCACTTGGAGGTCTGGGAATGGTATTATTCTCTTTGTCTAGTAAGTCGTGGACGTAGGTTATTCCCGCTTCCAACCAACATTTCAATGGGATATCTGGTGTTGCTGCCTATAGGGCAGTCAAGTGTGCCCTAGTGTGAAAGGTATTTTTGCAACATAAGTTGTCCAGGAATACATCCCAGAATTTAAGGGTAAGTACTGTAGTGGAAAGTAGGCCTGTGTTGGGTGTTCTAAGGTGTCAACGATACTGCGTCTCTGCATTTGCGCATTTTCCATGTCTACCCATTGTATTTTCCCCTCTGGGGAGTGTAGTAGGATGCCCGCTGCCAATGCAGAGGCTTTATAGTATAAGCTAATATTAGGAAGGCCCACTCCGCCTTGTTTTGGATTGGCTTGTGGGGTATTCTGGGTTTTTTATTCCCTTAGGTGAATGTGTTGCATGTGGTTTGGAGCGAGTGGAGGAGAGTTTGTGGTATGCTTATAGGGAGCATGCAGAAGATGTATAGAATTTTTGGTAATAGCATCCTTTTATATGCATTCATTCTCCCCAGCCAGGAGATGTTTACATGTGACCATTTTAGGGTTTCTGTTTTGCAGATATGTGGGAGTGGGAGGTAGTTATGTT